GAAGGTCGCTCACCTTAGTATCTGGAGGATTGATGTGAGCCAGCAGCTTGTACGTATTCCAGTTGTTTTCAAAACTCCTACACATCATAAAGGAGGGTTAAAAATAGCTCAGCTGTTAGACTTTTACAGTGTTTAGTCAGAATAAACAATATAAAATTATTCTAGTCAGTATTTTAATGATTTTTCCTTTTTGTTATTAGGCATTACTTAATATTTAAATGGTATTGCAAGTTTTACTTTAAAAAGTTTTTTCACTGATTGCATGTGCCATCTAACGTCTAATTTGTTCAGCCCACAGAGCAGATGACATTGGCAGAGCCTGAAGCTGCACAATTCAGGCTCCATAGTTATGCAAAGTTAGTCGATCACTTAAATGTTTTATTGCTATTACTCTCTGTGAAACACGTACTTTCCTCTGAGATTGATGGCATCGTCAAATCTGCCCTGAGCCATGGCAGCACTCACGTCTTTTGTCTGTAAAGTGTAAAGTCATTGTAGTGTTAGTGGATATCATTCAGAACAGGCAAAGCAACACATTAATCATCTTTTTCCTTGGGTGAAAATACTCTGACGTACCACTTGCACGCACTCCATGAGCGGCAATCTGACGGCTTGATTCCCCGACAGGGTGACCACACAGGCGGGAGTGTCCGGGGTGGCCTCCAGCAATGCCATCACCGCCTCCACTCCCATCCTGCTGCCCTACAGGAAACCAACAGAGCCAGTTCACCAAAGGGTGTACTACGACGCAAGTTCAACACAGCTAGGCTTTCTTTCCGTTAGCTTTCTTGACCCAGTTCAGCCCTTCAGGCTTCGTTCATGCTCATCTAATAAAAACAGGTGCTTCGCGGATTATATGACTCTTCTTCTGTATAAAATGATCCCTATGAGCGTCACCTACTCCACACAGATGTTATCAGATGATGATAATGAAATGGTAACTACAAATCTATAAGATAAAAAGATAAAATATTACAGTAAAATGTAAACACGCTGTTACAAATAAGACAGGAAATTAATGCTGCAGAAAACTGTTAATGTGGTGATTTCGTGCACAGAGGAGTAAAATAATTCAAGCTTATTTTATTGCAGACTGCACCCTCTGTACAGCTTGTACATATAAAACATGTTCTCCTAGCAGAGACTCTGTATCCTGCTTTATATGCTGTAAATAAAAGAAATGTATTAAAAATGTTGCATTTCCAGCGGATTTTAAACCTTCTCCAGACCAGGTTACGTGTTCAAGGTAAGTTACCATGGCGATTTAGCCATTTAAAAGCTACTTTTTT